GTAATACCTGCCAGGTCCGCACCCCCCTCTAAAATAAGATCGTGTATGAGGGGGGCCTTATTAACCACGGACCTGGCATTACATAACATCAGCCGGTGGTCCCGGGTCGGAGGGTCTAAGTCTCCTGGGGACCGAGTAGAGACCTGAGGACCGGAGCACCCACAAGCTTGTAAGTAGCGTGTGCGTGCTCCCCTAACTTAGAGTATTGTTTTGCCTGTTTGTCTAGTGTTGATCCCTGAATGTAGGCTGCTGGTGCGGTTGTGTTCTTTTTTCTTTCTTAGGTTTTTTTATTATTACTTTTGAATGCTATGTAAATGTGGTTCATCTCTTTATTAATCATTATTAATCTGAATGCCAAGCTTCCAGAAATTCCCTAGCAGGTTTGGATTTGGCTTGGTCTATGATGCTGTGAAATTAAGGAGCTTTTGACGAACAACACATGGACGGACTCAATCCCAGTTTCTCAATCCTAGCATCTTGAACCTTTGAAGGACACAAGAAGAGTAGAACACATCCTCTGCAGCAGCCCACATACAGGTAAGCAGGGATCAAGACCAGACAAGAAGAAACTACACCCCCACCAAAACTGACAGTACCAGCTACAGCATATATATACATTCTAGACAATTTTCAAGCACAGTTTATTCTTGGAAAATCTTACTTCTACAATAGGGAGAATGGATAATGTCTTTGATTTCTGGTCTTAAAACAGAATGAAAAAATCCCACTCAAATTTCTATTTTCCTCACATGACTAAGAGTGGCTCAATCTCATGCACCGACTTCTTCTGCCTTCAGTGGTACTGTAAACTATTCAATCTTATCAGGCATCAGAGACAGGAGTGAGCTTCTTAGGAAGGTGGGCCAAAAGTAGCTGCCAAGGAGGAAATAATCAATGACACCAATTTACAAGTAGGCAAGCAAGGAGATTGTTCTCTTGAATCTCAGGATGTTTCCTACCATTCCCATCTCACCTTTTCCTTACTTTTTCTGGGCAGGTGAGCATCTTTCCCCAAAAAGTACCAGGAGGCAACCACTTACTTATTACCTAGCAATTACCCATAGAGGGCCTAGAGACACTTACTAAATAGAAATGTTGAGAATTTGCTTTTACAAAATGGTTGGTTTCCCAGTTAAGTTTTCCTTAAAAATGTTTAAAATGGGGAGATAACAAGGAATCAGCAGTAGTTCCATGTAACTACCGGTAGGTTGCAGCATGTGCTCTGCATCTTCCTAAAATGATAAATGAATTTGCATAACTTTCTCACAAGTCATGATTTCACTGGTTGGACAAGAAATATTTTATTAGTAGAAGTAGTATTTGGTTTATATCCCACCTTTACTTCATATAACTCGAGATGGGCATATATAATCCTTCTACCTATTTTCCTACTTTTGATAATTAAATGTTCATATGCTTATCACCAGAC